ATCTTTTTAAGTGGGAGAACTTGCACAATTGGTGGCTGACTAAATATTTTTTTGCCCCACTGTAATTCAGATTACTGTATTTCCATACAGAGAGAGAGACAGCTTCCACCAGAGTCTGTCCCTAGGAATAGAATTGAAGGCCGATTTTAAGTATATTAAATCAAGATATAAGGAGCAGTATTGCCCATTATGTGTTTCTCCATTAGAAATGGTAAGATGGCACATGTATCTGTTGTGGAACTGTTCTCTCCCTTCCCAAATCCTGCTTACTCATCAGCTAGGAGTGTTGATGTCAGTGAAAAAGAAGGCCAAGACGGGATCATCAAGCAGCATTTCCCTTTAATAACTCCAGTGGTATTAAAGCTGGGGGCTTTCTGACTTTTCAGTTGGTTAATTAGTTTATGAATCTTTGAGTAGGAAGCTTGGGGGCCAAGGAGGAATGCTATGCCATGTTTTGAGTGGAGTCTGGCAAATAGGGAGGAGCTATAGTGTGCTGTAGACCTTTCCCCATCTAACAGCTGAAATCCTAGCTTCCAAGCACTGTTCACCCTCATATGTGACTAGCAAGTAATTAGCTTCCAAAATAGGAAGAAAAAGTCATTCCCAATTTGCCTGGGCAAAAGCTTTGACAAAATATTTAATTAAACTTTTATAAAGTTTTTTCTAGTCAATTAATTGATTTCTGGCACATTATCAGTCTGTAAATTTTAAAAGCTGTCATTAATCCCACCCGAACAGATACCCAATCCTGGTCACATCAGGGTTTCTGGGAGATTCAGGCAGGTCTTCTCCTAACATGTTTGGAAGATGTTTATAACTACTAGATGATGCTTATGTGACCTGGACCACTATTGAGGGTGATAGTGAGTGTTCCTGAAACCAGGAGCATTCATCTGAGGTTAGCAGTAGTTGAACTGCCTGTGCTTGCTTTGCAGTCCATGTCTGCAATCCATGACTACACGTTGTCCTCAACTTACAACCCGTCATTTAACAACTGTTCAAAGTTACAACGGCCATGGAAAGGGTGCTTTATGGCCCGTAAAGTACTTCTGGCCATTGTAAAACTTTACGCTCTCCACCCCCAAGGTCACGTGACAGCATTTCTGGTGCTTGACAACCAGCTTGCATTTACAAGCTGGTTGCCCCCCAGTCCTTTGATCGCCAGTTGGAAGTCTGGAGAAGCCTGCAGGGAATGTTGCAGGCGGAGGGGAGTTGAAATCCCTCTGTGGGCTGGAGGAACGGAGCTGAAATCTTCAGAATTTGAGCTCTGTTCCTGCAGCCTGCTGAAAGATTTTCCCTCTGTGCACAGAGGAGAGGGGAAACCCTTTGGTGGACTGCAGGAATGGAGCTCAAATCATGAAGATTTCAGTTCCATTCTTGCAGCCCCACGAAGGATTGCCCCTCCGTGCACAGAGACAGCAGCAGGAATGTTTGGGAGTGAAAGGGCTATCTGCTGGGAGGATTTCAGCTCCGTGCAGGGCTGAGGTCCTTCAGGCAGCTCTTTCTCTCCGTCAGCTAATGAGCCGGGAGATCACTTAGCAGTGGCAACTGGGAATGCCCGGATTGCAGTCGTTGAGTGAAGCAGCCACGTGGGCATCTTGCTTAACAACCGCTTTGCTCGATGATTGAGATTCCAGTCCCAGTTGTCGTCTATCTGTAATTCTAGTTCCAGTAGTGCCCTCATTGCTTTTAGCATTGATTGGACAAAGTGAGTAAGGGCTAAAGTTCAGAAAAAGCAGTAAAGATAGGTGGTGGTTGTCTGGCCAGAGCCCAACTTTAAATGGTCTGGTTGATTTTGGTTATTTGAAGTTGCTCTGGTACAGTAGTTAAATATATGAAGTTATATTTAATGTTTTCATTGCTATCTGTTGTTTTTAACTTTGGGTGCTTCTCTGAGTAACATGCAATTGGGTGGCTATGTAGATTGATCTAAAAAATATCCTAAAGATTGGGGACCATTGCCATAGTGCATCCCATTCTTCTCCTTTAATTGTAATCTTTAGTTCCTTCTCCTTCCCTCTAGCGTCCAACCTTCAAAGCCTCATCCTATTTTTTTTTTTTTTAAGAGAATCAAAAAAACAGCATTTTCCCATGGGAAGAATTCTTATAATTCTAAAATCTCATTTCAAATCCATCTGGACCCTTAGTCTGTTTGTAACTTTCCAAAATCAAAGTTCTAATCACCCTTTTGCTGTTTATTCCCAAAGAATTTTTTAAAGTTTTTAAACTTGTATTTAAAACTTTTTTCACTGAAGATTGAAGGAAATTCATCCAGTGTTTTCAGACTTGACAATTCAGAGGTCCCGAATAGCTGACAAGCAGCTAATGAACAATTTCTGAAAGTGATTAGAAAAGGAAGTATGCAAACCCAGTGTCCTCCCTCCAAAAAAGTAGCTATGGTAAGCATACTAGCTTAAACACATAATTATTCTAAAATATGTCCCAAGTCAATTACTCAAGGCAAGAGAGTACTTCTTTGCATATTAATCAGGTGATATTCCCAAACAATAATATTAATATTAATTTAATGTGTTTAAATTTGGGGATGGTGTAACTAGTATAGTTTTAACTATCACATATTCTTGTTTTGATTCCCTTTCTCCTACAGATTTATTTTAATTTGCTTCCATTTTCTACTGACTGATATTTCATTGTATTACCAGGCAGTCCCCGGGTTAAGAATGAGTTCCATTCCTAAGCCTGTCTTTAACTCAAATTTGTATGTCAGTCGGAACTTGTACTTACAAACAGGCTGCCTGTTACTAAAATTAGCGGACGGTGTTCTCCTTCCTGGAGCCGATGAACTGCCAAAGCCGCGTGTTTTCATGAACTGCTGAAAACCTCTGTATATTAAACAGGTTGTATATTCAAAACACACGGCTTCAGCGGTTCATGAAAACATCATGCGGCTTCAGCAGTTTGTTAGCTCCAGGAAGGAGAATGCCGTGCACCATTTTTAGTAACAGGCAGCCCATTTGTAAGTATGAGCTGTCCATAACTTGGACGTTCTTAACCTGGGAACTGCCTGTAACAGGAGTTTTGTGTTAGTGTATCCTTTGGAACTCTCTGATGTTGTAGTTGAGTATTTTTTACTAAGCTTTAGATAGAGTTCTCATTTTGAAGGATTCATTATCATCTGTAATGGAATTTTAAGCTGAGATTTTCTTGTCAAATTTTTGAACTTGAAAGCACTCAGAGTGAGTAACAAAAACTGGATTATTAAAGTATACACACTGTAGATGGGGTACAGCTGGGAAGTTTGTAAATAGTAAACAGGTACAAAGCATAATACAGTTAGTCTGGTTTGTGTGCCTCATCCTATTTGTGTATATATGTTAAATTTGCCTTGAATAAGATTCCAAGGTTTGCTGAAGAGTTATTTTATGCAAAATACTTGGAAATTTGGAAATCTTTGGCACAATTAAAAGGAGAGTACATGTGGTGTAATGGTTAGTGTTGAACTAGGAGCAAGGGGACCCAAGCTGTAATCTACTCTTAGCCATTGGAAGCTCAGTAGGTGACTGAGGCCAGTCATTCTCTCTTAGCCCAATCTACCTTACAGGGATGTTGCTTTGAGGAAAAAAAAAATAGGATGAGAGACCACCTTGTATGCCACTTGAACTCTTGAATGAAAGGCAGGATGTGAATCTAATAACATTAAACAAAAGAACTGTGTATCACATCATCTCTTTTTTCATGGTAATGTTTTAAAGTAATATTTATTTTAATTGTACATCACTTTGCACAGTAGCTAGAACTATAACTACTAACAAGAGTTATTAAAACAGACAGCATATAAATGGATACAAATAAATAAGATAAACTGCACTGAAATTAATGTGCAGTTTTTGCTAAAATTGTTGATGCAGGTGCTTCCTGACTTTCACGGGGTCTTAGGGTAGCCATATGGAAGCCCCAGATTTAGACTCAGTGTGCCTGAATACCAGTTGAGGATTAATAATGAAAGAGGATTGTTACTCTCATCCAGATTGTAATCTATCTAGAAGAAAGGGGGTAATCAGTGGCTCAAACGCTAAATGCAATCTTCCAAATCTCAATTTGTGACATCTACAGCACCCTGAGATTATCCTTTTTTTTTTTTTTAATATAAGTCAGGATGGGACCAAGATGCTCTCAGAAAGAAAATGACTCCCATTTCAACCTTTTAAATTACTCCAAACCTGTCCAAAATCATGCCGCTGAAATTCTGCAATGACATGATCACATTTATGCTGTACAGTTAGAGGCTGTTTTATGGACAGGGAGGTTTTAAAGATGGCAGTGGGAGTAGTTTGCTTATTCTCACT